GTTTAATAGCGCGCACGTCCTGGTAACTCTAAAACCGTGGGGAGTGTCACGATGCTAATAATTCATTCTCGTCATTTTCTCAAGTTAGATCAGGATGTCATGATACTTGACTCAAGTATCATGATGTCCTGATCTTATTGTGTTGTTAGGAGTTCCTAGAACTGCAGTGAACGTTATGTGATAGCGCACATGTCCTGGTAACTCTATAACCGTGGGGAGTGTCACAATGCTAATAATCAATTCTCGTCAATTTTCCCACGTATCGTGACATCCTGGCCTTTTTGTGTCGTTAGTAGTTCCTAGAACAGTAGTGTGTTTTGTGATTGTGCACACGTCCTGGTAATTGTTAAAGCGTGTGGAACGTCACAATAGACTAGGAACCACCATGACGTGTGCTTTTATTTTCTTGCATTCGTTCTTTTTTCTCTTTCCTATCTTGGATATTGACAAAAAACTTCACATCCGACATTTTTGTCCCAATCTCATCTGTCCCTTCCATTGTTTTATTCCAAATAACAAAATTAATCAGGCCAATATCAGACTTTGGATAGCCCGTGTCAGGCCGAAGTCTACCATCCTAACCCCCTTAGGAAAGCCTGACACGGGCTATCTATAGTCTGTTATTGGCCCGATTAATTTTATTTTGTTATACCCAAGTATCGTGACATCCTGGTCTTATTGTGTCGTTAATAGTTCCTAGAACAGAAGTGTGGTGTTTTTGTGATTGTGCGCACGTCCTGGTAATTGTGAAAGCGTGTGTGGAACGTCACAATAGTAGGAACCACCATGACTTGTGCTTTTATTTTCTTTTTTCTTTTTTATTTTCATTCGTTCTTTTTTCTCTTTCCTACCTCGGATATTGACAAAAAAAAACGTCACATCCGACATTTTTGTCCCAATCTCATCTGTCCCTTCCATTGTTTTATTCCAAATAACAAAATTAATCAGGCCAATATCAGACTTTGGATAGCCCGTGTCAGGCCGAAGTCTACCATCCTAACCCCCTTAGAAAAGCCTGACACAGGTTATCCATAGTGTGGTATTAGCCCGATTAATTTTGTACATGTATTTTGTTGTACCCAAGTATCGTGATATCCTGGTCTTATTTTGTCGTTAGTAGTTCCTAGAACAGTAGTGTAGTGTTTGTGTGATGGCGCGCACGTCCTGGTAATTGTAAAAGCGTGTGGAACGTCAAAATACACTGTCACAATACTAAGAACTAAGCATGACTTGTGTTTTTCTTCCTTCTTTCCTTTCGGATCGTCTGACTTACCTTGGAAATTGACCAAACACCGCAGCTTCAATATACATTGTATATATATTCAGTCCACTTTCTCAACTTTCTTACACTTAGAAGCTTTCGTAAAAGTTTTCTTCGGTCACGGTTTACTCTGAAACTAGTTAACTACATCATACATCCAGATTTCTCAATAGTGACAATACTCATCTCATCTGTCTTTTATTTACGTACAGTACACCTACTTTCCCTCGCCATCCAAGAATAGATCGTAATTCTTGCGGAAGAAACCCCCGAAGTGAGTTCAGCTCAACGCGGAAGTTATCGTCTTCGGAGACTTCCGGGTTTCTGTGATGTGACGTCACGCGAGGCTCCGAGAAGGAAACTGGACTGACTAGTCGGAAAGTTTCGCCAGTTTCCGGAGACCACGCGAAACTTCGCGAGACCGGCCACGCGTGTTCTAAAAGTTTTACTTGGAAAACAACTTCTGGATATATAGGACAGTCGAATCAAAATAAGGCTTTGCTAGCCTGGTTACCAAGGGTTCAAGGGTTAGGTGTAACAAGTCGATCGGTGTAATGTAGCCAGCTGCCGCCGCGCCGCGTGACTGCGAAGCTGGCGTGTTACGCCGAAAGGCGGTTATACCGCGGCCGGCTATACAGATACAGATACCAGATCTATTTTAGCTCCCGAGTCTTTATCCTTTCCGCAAATTTGAGAGCGTAAAAAGTAGGGAGCTAGAATAAGTCTGGTAACCAGGCTAAATCTTTGCAAGTTTGTACATTGAGAAAATTGTTATAAACAGTACTGGTATGTAGACTAATATTCATTATAACTTATAAGCCAATATTTCACATCTTTCTGGTTCGCTATTTCTGTATTTGCACGTGCACTACGTTGAAAGACAAAGCCGATTTTTGATGGATCATGCGTTTTAGTGAAAGAGTTATAATGATGATAATAATAACTTTTATTGCAAATTTCTGACTAAAGGCTAATTGCAAATAACACGGACAAAAGAACATTGAAACAGGGTACAAAATAACTATAAAATCTACATAATAACGGAATCATCTGGAGCTATGTCTGAAGGGTTTGACTTCTCTTTTGTAAGCCATGGATGGAAGACTTAATGCCCCACCTTTTCCAGAATGTGTGGGTTTTGGGTAGCCTCTACCAGGCTCCGCGGATCGCTGGAAAAATAGTAGATATTGGCCGAAATAAAGGGATAGTATACCAGAGAAGATCCGGCCGGCCATAGAAGCTCCAATTTGCGACCCACGGATCGCAAATTGGAGCTTCTATGGCCCTGGATCTTCTCTGGTATACTATAGATGATAGACAAGCGAGCTGAAATTATGTTATTGCGAGTTGATCATGATGTTTTCTGTTATCATCATGGGATATTTGTCCAAAGAAGTTATGTAATACAGACTTCGGACTTGTTATGCAGCAAGTTGTTGTTTCCCCCTCCAACGTGTGACCGGTCAATCGAATTTGAACTCCAACTTCCAAGGGCAACAAACACACCTATTCTCCACCAGGCCTTCTTAAGGGGAGGTTGGCCGTTGGCTAGTATAGAATTCGGCAATAAAAATAATAATAGGATCTGACTGGCCAGGAGAGCTGGTCAACGTCCACTGTTGTGGTTTCAATTTGCCCTCGGAAGGGCAAATGAACTCTACGGTGACCAACGGCCCTGGACACGGTAGAATTATCCCTTTACATGTGTATTTTGCTGCATTTTACTGGTTTTAAACCCACGTTGATGGAGAATACAGTATACCACGCTGTTAGTATATTGGGCGAGCTATATGGGGTACCGGGGGCTGGTCAGTTGTGTCTTATACAGTCTGACAACAGCCTCCCCCTCCCCACATACTAGTACACAGAAAAACCGGACGAGCACTTGTATCATAACGACTGACCGGATATTAAAGAAAAAGCAAATAGGTGAATGAAGTTATGTAATACAGACTTCGGACCTGTTATGCAAGTTCGAACTTTGTGTGTTTTCCCCCTCAACGTGTGACCGGTGACCGGTCAATCGAATTCGAACTTCAAGATTACCATTTGCCCCCCGAAATTTGGCTGTTGAAAACAAAGATACCAATAACGAAAATGAGACCGATAAAAACGCCTAAAACACCCTAAAATAGGCGAGCTAGCCTCAACCCCTGCTGGGACTCGCATATGTACAAGTCGGGCTAACCACCACCCCACACCATCCCCCACCCTAGCCTCCTTCGCAGTCTTGTTGGGCGTCGGCGTTATTTTTTCCCTCGCGGCAGCAAATCGTCCCTCGCGGCCGCATATTACTCGCGTCGCTCAGAGAAAAAATTACGCCGACGCTCAACAAGACTGCGAAGGAGGCTACCCCACCCCACCCCACCCACCCCCACCCAATACACAGAAAAACCGGACAGCACTAGTATAGTACTACGAATGACTAGGTATGACAGATCATAATTTCAATGTAAAACGTTCACAACAGGGATTCCCGTTATGACGCATGTTTATGACCATTACCTGTGTGACGTCACACGTCGTTGAGAACACGTCCTGCACGTACATATCCGGTACCCGCCGGGGTCATGTCCGGTCACTCAACTTATTTACATATTCCATCACGCATTTGTCAATCGAATTATAGAAGGGAAGGATTAAGTGTCAAAATGAACACAAAAGTCCCCAAATTTCTTCTAATCATATATAACGTTAGCTATATCTTTTTTATAGTACATTTTATTAGCGACGATATTGTTAACAGTATATAAGCTGTGGTTGCGAAATTTTACTTTTAAAAGTAGCAAGCTACTTGGATGCAACGATATGTTTCTGACTCGACACATGGACAAAAACTATATAAGGATGCCTTTAAATGTCTGGTGTGTGTTACGCCGAAGGGCGGTTATACCGGCTATACCGATACAGATACAGAAATGTCAAAACGTTTCATTTTACATAGTATCAAAGTTGATAAAATGTTCGATTTTTTTCTCAGGAAAAGCCATAATCCTGTTACATGTATTATAAATGATAAAAAATCGCGAAGGAGAATTTTTTTCATATTTTAGAGTGGATTGTTGTAATTATAAGTAGTGACATCTGTGTCCTGAATGAACTGTAAAGAACTGGAAACACGGGAAAGAATTAGCTGTATATATGCAATACGTATATGCAATGAGATTTACAAGAGAAGCTTCTTGATATAGGCCCAACCCCCCCCCCCCCCCACACACACACACACCGCTTTCACTGTCTCCTCCTAGATCTAGAATAAACGCAAAACGTCCAGATCCAACAACCAGAAACATCAACAGAAACCGCACTTTAGGCTCTAGTTCAAGGACAAGAAACGCTGGGGTTTTCTATCCGGCACGTTTCTTTCTAGAAAGCCAGACTGGCCGAAATCCGGCTAAAACCGGAACCCGGAAGTGAGTTCTACTAGTTACTCCACCGGCCGACGCCGCTTCGCTCTAGCTCTATACTACGTACATTTGTACTTGCTGTTTTCAGCATCTCATAGTAGCTATTTTCCTTTAAAACAGGGGATTTCTACTGATTAAGACCCTAATTAGCGTTATTTTACTGCATATTAAACAGAGGGGTATACCCAAAGTATTGACAGGACCCACTCACGTAGTTCCCCGCGTCATGACGTCATCGGAAAGTCCAGCCTATTTTTGGAATGACGGGATGACGTCACCATTAGCCAATGGGGGCTTTCTACGGTGACTCTACATAAAGGCCTAGCGTCAGCCCGTGCCAATACCACATTCACAGGGCTACACTACGTACGGAAACAGCAAAAAGTCCCTCGATAAACTTAGACATTACCGTTCTTGCGACTTTTAAGGATATATATTACGCCGATGTGCTACTGCAACAGAGTAAACTGCGAAGGAACAGACTGTAAGAGGACTAACGTTATACAGCAAGGAGCCGAAAACATTCGCACCAAGAAACTACAATCACATAGGTAAGGATTTTATTATCTCTTGAAAAGTCAAACTCTCTTTAACCATTTTGAGTGAAAGATGGTAAAATAACTGTAGAATTTTCTCTAAAAATTGCTAATATCACTATATCCATAACGTTATAGTGTATATACTTGATCCCTTTAATATTGTGTCAAATGTATACCATTATGACTCACACCAAGGACATTCTATCGCTGCCTTTCTTAGTTGAGTCATTTTTATGAAATCACATCTTTTTAGTCATAGTTTGCTCACAGGGATAGTCACACATTTAACTAGATTTACGCCCCAGTCATGTCAGATTTTATCTCGTATATCTACATAATTGATTATATTCGGATTTGCCACAAAACGCCACTACGTTTAATAGTAGAATACTGGCATGTTCTAGAATATTCTTTAGAATACACTTAAGAATACTTGGTATTCTTTAGAATAGTGTTCGGTTCGATGTGTTTCTTGTTGTGACGTATCATATTTCACATTGTTGTAAAACGTCATATTTCTCAGTGACTCGAGAATGGATCGCAGCAGCGCCACTTCAGCCGTTGTACCACGTGACGACGCCGTAGTTCCGCCTGGCAGCGACAGTTGCTGTAGTCATGTTCCCTGTGGAATGGATATAGACCAGCAGCTCCACTCCCTGCAGACCAGGTTAAAGGGTACGGAAACGTTGAGCGTGCTGTTGTCAGAAGCTCGGGAACAGATCGCGCAACTGTCGGCCGCGCTGAGAGAGCGAGAGGGCACGATAGTCTTGCTACAGAACCGCCTGGCTCAGAGCGGACTCAGTACGAGTCTAAGCCTGGGGTCCACAGAACGGATCGTGCCGGGCGCCTCACGGGAACTCGTCCAAGGACTGATCCGGGAAAACGCCAGGCTAAAGCAATCACTCAGGGGAGCACCAATGGACGAGGAACTCAGACGGGTAAGTCACAGTTGACCAATCGTTGTTGGCGTTCTTGATTAGTTTAAGATACACAAACTATCTGGGGTCACCGGTTTGTTGTCTATCAGTATCCGATCATCAGTTGTTCGTTAGAAGACAAACAGAGAAGCCACCACCATGATGGCGACCGCACCTCCGCGTCCCCCTCCGCCTCCCCCTCTCCCCCTCCCGCCCAAAAACTTCGCCTTTTCTACCGTCAAGAAACGTGTGGTTAGTATAGAATCATCTACGTGTGTATAATTTGCAAAATTCTAGACAAGGTGTACAAGAAAAATCCAAGGTCTTTGTTTAGACAGCGTCATTCAAAATCCCACAGGCCCCTTGACTGAATTTGTAGAAAATTTCTGTCAGTAACCTGTTTGTAGTGTGTATTCAAGGTTCAAATCTTGCTCGTTTGTAGTAATTACAATTCTTCTTTTGTTTTTCAAAACCCCAGAGGTTTGCCGAGCAGCAAAACAGCATCAAGATCCTAGAAGACGAACTGACCGAGAGAAGAGAGTCTCTCAGGAAGCTGGAAGACGCCCTGTCTTCCTCTGAGGACGACAAGGACAAGCTGATAGCCTCGCTTCGCGCCAGGCTTCAGGAGCTGGAGAAGAGCACCCAGACGCAGGACGTCCTGTGTAGGAGCCTGACGGAAGAGTCCGAGACTTTAAGAACGAGACTACAGGCCACGGCAGAAATGTGCAACGAACTCGCCAAGAAACTAGAAGCCGAAAAGGCCAACAGAAAGAAAGACGACCCAAGCGAAGAGTTGGAAAAGGAGATGAGACAGGTAAGAAGCTATCCGCAAAAGTGCTATAAATCTAACAAATTGATCCAAAATGTATTTAAAACGCGGTGTTTTTGTTTATGCCTTTGTCACCAGTAACTTCTGTGGGGTGGATTTGCATACGCTTATCTCTGTATGCAAACTCTGTATTCTTAGCGGATTTGCATGTTAATTAGGCACTCAGCTGCAGTGTGAAAAACAAAGGTGTTCGGTTACCCCCTTTTCCCGGGTTCCTTTTTATGTGTGTATTCACGATAGACTGTCCCTCCCGGTGTGAATTACCTTTGAGTTGAGAAATACAAGAGAACTAATTGAGTGACAAAACTACCCCTAATTCCAACTCTTTATGACAAAAAAGGGAAGAATCATTGTTACGACTAGTTGGTTGCGGAACAATTTTTCTTCAGGTGGTTTTGTGAAAAAATCCCCAGAAAACTTTAATCAGGAAACGTGATTTGCGGAGTAGGCCTTTTTGTGTACACACCGTTTAAATTTCTTCCGCCTTGTACAAGTTGGCACTTGTCTGGGCTCCGATCCGCTAAAATTAGACCAGCCGATTTCATCAATCCTTAAAAAATCCTCTTCACATGAGAAGGAAATTACGAAGGCCCATAGGTACACTTAGCATTTTTTATTCCACTTTGTATTTTCTATGGGTACTTTGTATTTTCTATGGGTACTTTGTATTTTCTATGGGTACTTTGTATTTTCTATGGGCACTTTGTATTTTCTATGGGCACTTTGTATTTTCTATGGGCACTTTGTATTTTCTATGGGCACTTTGTATTTTCTATGGGCACTTTGTATTTTCTATGGGTCACTTTGTATTTTCTATGGGCACTTTGTATTTTCTATGGGCACTTTGTATTTTCTATGGGCACTTTGTATTTTCTATGGGCACTTTGTATTTTCTATGGGCACTTTGTATTTTCTATGGGCACTTTGTATTTTCTATGGGTACTTGTTTTTTTCTGTGTGTACTTCGCGAAGTTTTTTTGGTGGCTGGCGAAGCGACATTCATTTTGCTTTGATGTGGATGCTCCCATTTTTATTATGGCGGTATATTTCTATTTACCATTCTAGGCAACTAAATTTATTTTAAACCTATTAAAACATAATATACTTTACACTTTGAGAAAATTTTGTTTGTTTTGCATGCAATGTTCCACACGTTTATTAATTAGGAGTATCAAATAGTGATTATTACATCCTGGCATAGATTATGTTAATGTAGACACAGGACCATACTATTTTCGGGGGTGCTAGGACATATTGTTCAGACTTCCGTCAACATTTCCGTAGCGATATATGGTAAATCACTTCCTCGCTGAATGTAAATTACTCCTTTGTATTAAAAAAAGCCCGTAATCTAAAGCGAGGGTTCATTGCCAATGTTGGGAAAAAATTGCATTGCGGTTTGCTGCCCTCCTACCAACCGCGAACGTTCATCACATGCAGTTTACGCAGGAAATATGGACAATATGCCGTTTCAGTAAATAACCTGACATCTAAAATTGTTGAAATATTAGCAGAAACTCAAATTACACTCTAGGTTGACCGTCTAATCGTGTGGTAAGCTACATGTGTGCTGTAGTGACATGAATTGGCACTTTTGTGGGGAGGGGGGCGTCCCAACAAAGGTCAACGACCTCCATGGCTTACGGCCTATGTTTCACGCTTTTGCACTTCATAAATGAACAATTTTAGATGTCAGGTTATTTACATAATCTATGCCAGGATGTAATAATCACTATTTGATACTCCTAATTAATAAACGTGTGGAACATTGCATGCAAAACAAACAAAATTTTCTCAAAGTGTAAAGTATATTATGTTTTAATAGGTTTAAAATAAATTTAGTTGCCTAGAATGGTAAATAGAAATATACCGCCATAATAAAAATGGGAGCATCCACATCAAAGCAAAATGAATGTCGCTTCGCCAGCCACCAAAAAACTTCGCGAAGTACACACAAGAAAATACAAAGTACCCATAGAAAATACAAAGTGCCCATAGAAAATACAAAGTGCCCATAGAAAATACAAAGTGCCCATAGAAAATACAAAGTGCCCATAGAAATACAAGTGCCATAGAAATACAAGTGCCCATAGAAATACAAGTGCCATAGAAATACAAGTACCATAGAAATACAAGTA